TCCTATCCTATCCTATCCTTCTCCAAGGTTAATCGATTAATTATCGTGCAAGGGAAAGAAAAAAAAAAAAAAAAAAAAAGAAAAATACGAAAAGTGGAAAAAAAGGATAGGAACGCAGCGTGGAGGGAGACTGACGAACGAAAGACGAAGCGGAGGTTGGGAAGGGAAGAGGAGGTCGGAAGGGGGTTGGATGGGAGCGAGTACGCGATCCAGCGGTGTTGGGCACGGCGCGTACCCCCGGAGGGTAAGTTCAAACGAAAACTCCGCGGCGTCCAACGAGTTTGTATCGAGCGTAGGAGGCAAAAGCGAGCGAGCGAGAGAGAGAGTAGTAGGGACGAAGCTCGGTCGGATAGCTTAGGACCGAGAGATAGAGAGAGATAGATAGATAGATAGATAGATAGATAGAGAGAGAGAGAGAGAGAGAGAGTTGGGCGAGGATGCTAGAAAACCGTGAGCGGATGGGAGGACGAGGAAGGAGCGGAGGAAGACGGGGCTTCCAGAGCGAAAGAGAAAGAGGGAGAGAGGTCGTGTGGATGGGAGAAGGAAAGGGAGTAACGAGATCGGAGAGAAAGAAAGAGCGGAGCGGGAACGTAACGGGAGAGAAGATATTCTCTCTCTTTCTCTCTCTCGTCTCGTAGCAGAGCGCGCGATGCTGGTGCTTGCTGCAGAACGAGCCTGGGACGAGGGAAACGAGGGATTGGTGAAGAAGGGAGGGGAAACTGCCGCAGACCGAGGCCATGGTAGGCGAGGTGAGGTGGCAATCAATAAATATACAGAGAGAACAGGCGGAGAGCGAGGGAGAAAGAGAGAGAGAGAGAGTGGTAGATCGAGCCACGAGGAGGCGAGAGAAAGAGAAAAATATAGGGGGATGAGGGTTGTGGGAGAGAGAAGGAGAGCGAGAGGGAGAGAGAAGCGCTCGTCGCGTCTGTCCGACCGACCGTCGGTCCGTTCTTGCGTCCCCAAAGCCCCCACGAATCTAACCGACGCTCGTTCGAAGCGAGAGAGAAAGACAGAGAGAGAGAGAGAGAGAGAGAGACGGAGAAAGAAAGCGGGACAGGGGGATACGATATGGAAGTTGATGGAACGAGATGGTAAAGCCGGCCACGAGAGGGAGAGGAAGGGAGAGGAAGGCTCTGGAGAGAGGCTTTGCTTGAAAAGACAGGAGCAAACAGGGAGAGGAAGAGAGAGGGAGAAGACGCGCGACCGACACAGGGATGCGAGAGAAGGTCCGGGAAACGCGTATATACCGGTCGGGTCGCGGAGGTGAGGCAACGAAATAAACGAAATCCCATCGAATGGAAGGGTCGGGGGAGGGGAGATGGAGAAGGACCATCGTTCGGCTCTTCCCGCCTCTTTGTTCCACGATTTCTTCCCGATACCCGGAAATATTCGAGTCCGTGTTTTTCAAGGGGGCCGCTAATTGGAGAAGAAGAGATCGGGTTAACCGGTACTCGAAACGAAAGGAGAGGGAGAGGAAAAAGGAAGGGAGGGAGGGAGAGAGAGAGAGAGAGAGGCCTCTCTTTCGAAAGAGATCTCGAGGAGAGGTTGACCATTAACGATGGGATCTATGATTAACGTCCGGTCCGAGGTTGGACGGGTATCACGAGTTACTAACGGTATCGCGAGTTTCGATTCGAATCACGAGCCGATAATTAACGTATATAAACGTTATGCGGTGGATGCGGCAGCATCGGCACAGGGCCGCGACCGATTCGACGGATCGATTCGAGGGAATCGGAGCGTGGAAGAAAACGCGGAGCAATGGGTATTGATTGCCACCGTGCGAAAAGTCGCGACGCCCCATTCCGTTCCCGGCCACCAGGAACGCTCAACCATTTCCGCTCCGGGGAGCTTCTTCTTTGCCCTTGTTCAACGTTCGAGACGCGCCACAATTTTTCCACAAATATAGATCGACAGCGGAGGAAAAAAATCGCCAATAAACGATATTTGATATTTGTCCGTCGAGTCTAAAGTGATATATCGAAAAGTATTTGAATTGGCGCCACGTTCGAAACTTTCCATTCCGAAAGAAGAAGATGTTGAGAACGGGTGTTGGGAAGATGGATGGATAGGATAGGATAGGTACACAGGTCGACTTTAATCAGTTAATAGGGGTAGATCCTAGACCTTATCGAGGCGAGGTCGAAAGTATGAAATCGTTTAAAGGTAAATACACTCGAATTAAAATACGGGTTGATAGTTGGATAATGTCGAAGACCGCGAGGCCGTGTCTTCCTTCGACGCGGTTCGCGAGAAACGAGAACAACGTGACAAGTATCCTCGAATCGCCGATGAGAAAAGGCTAACCGCCTCGCCGAGAAGAGAGGAGAAGGGCTCGATTGCAAGCGTGCAAGTAGTGCTAATTAAAGTAAGTGGCCGAACAGGCCTCTCCTTCCTCAAGAACGCGTTATATATACATACGGTATATACACATACTTATACAGTCGGGCGCAAAAGTCTTTATATACGCTCTTCTTAACCACGAATCCACCTCGCCTTGCTTGAAAATCCTAATTTTTAACCAAATTTTCTCCAATTCGTAGATCGCATACAATTGTATTTCGAATACAATTTCCTTTTTTTTTTTTAAATAAAACAACAGATAAATAAAAATAATTCACATCGTTAAAAAATACAAAGGATTTCGATTTCACTCGTTTAAAAATAATTGAGAACCACTTAAGAAGAAATTTCTCCACGCGCAAAATTTCGTGTATACGACAAAATTTTTACCTAATATAATTTTATAAGTCGTGATCGTTATTTAGAGTGAACGAAGATTTTCGTAACAGGCTGTACCTATATAAAATACGCTGGGTTTGGCTTCTTTAGGAAAGAGAGAGAGAGAGAGAGAGAGAGAGAGAGAGAGAGAGAGAGAGAGAGAGAGAGAAAATAGCGTTAGAAGAGGTCTTGGGCAAGCATGAACGGAAACGAGAGAGAGGCCGGGTGAAAGAACAAGCCAGCCGGAGGAATATCCGTTCGCTCAATGTGGTATGCACGATACTAAAACCTGGAGGGAAAGAGAGTAGAAGAGTTGAATGGTCTTGATGCTTGTTCAAGGTCTAAAACTTGGAGGAATATACAACGTCTGTGGAAATTCTACCGTAGTACGCCATAGTTGCGTTCTGCTCGGTGGAAAGGTGGAAGAAACTCGTGGATACATCGTAATACGTCCGCTTTTATTACTGTTACAGTGTGCAACGTGTAACGGAGCTTGCTTGGCCAAAATAGTTTGAGATTTTATCGGTTGTGCGAGCACGTTTGGATATTTCGAGAATGGAATGAGAAACGTCGATATTTTATTATCGATGTAAAACGAAACGGGAGTATTACGTGTGAAAATAAATATTAAAACTAGATTAAGACGAACGATATAGATCCAATCCAATTCGAACAATTGCTCTCGAGAATTATTTTTGAGAATGAAAGTTATCCTAGAACAATCAAACCAACGTCCATCTTGAGAAAAACATTCTCAAGAGTAATTCTTCAAGATTTTACTCTCAAACTTGTTTTTATTAAGAATGTATGGTACCGAATGTGTTCAAAAATAAGTAAGGTTATCGTGGGAGTTTTAGTCCTTTCTGTTACTTCGATCTCCCCTTCGGAGATATTCATGAGAAGTTTTCTTAATTTAAGAAAAAAAAAAGTTGAGATTCTGAAAATGTTGAAACTCTGTTTTTCAAGTCGAGAAGAAATCGAGTCGAATCAGGCAATAGAGAAAGTATCGATATCAGGAATCTCTGCTATTTTCAATCGAAAAATCTTCGAATCACTTGATCCTCGAAAAAAAATCATTGACACGATTCGATTTTCCAGAATCCAACCCTCAGTTACTACCCTAAACGAACTTTTATTCTGACCACAATAATTCAATTCAATATTGACCGAAAATCTGACTTCTGAATGATTATACGAGAAAGAAAAATTTCAAAATTGATCATATCCTGTGTTCGATGAGCTTTAAAAAAAAAAAAAAAAAAAAATAGCGGGACTCGCTGTTTAAAATGAGCAAGGTACTCGAGACTTCGACCTTGAACTTGTAACACACATACACTTTCGTAAACTCTTAATATAATACAGGTCAGAGAACTGAAATTAAAACGAAGAGTCATTCATAAATTTATTATTCAAAGTAAAAATTTCATCGATATCTTCGATTTCGTAATTAATACGAATTGTTATGAAAATCAAATATATATATATATCGTATTTATTATATTTATGGACAACGATGAATCGACACCAGAAAGATAATTTATTATTATGCATCCTCCCCGCGTTATTTCGCGTCGGTGCAAACAGCTTGATTAATGAAGCTCGAAGCTACGGGTAAAAGGGATTACGTCGATAATCTCGTTCGATATCCAACGCCTTTGAACATATCGATCGCGATGTTATTAATCGCGGTGATTCCATCCCCTCCGTCTTATTCGCGCACTTTCAGTCAACAGTCTTGCAGGATCGTTGAGTCGAGGAACTTTTTAAAGTTCCTCCTCGTGTCTCATCGCGTCTCGTCCAACAAAAGAACGTGTCCATAATAATGGAAATGAATAATAACGATTCGACTCTTAGATTCTTAACTGTGATAATTGGAAAAAAACGAGTTAATTGAGCAAGGCTGGTAATTTTAATTATCCACGAATTTATTATTTTCCATCTTTTATAAGATAAATTCCTCGTAATAATTCGCCTCGATTTGAGACCAAATTAGGGACCGATAATAAAATAATTAAGCATTTAAAGTAATAATAAGATACTCGATAATAATAATAAGAATAAAAAAAAAAAACATACAAGTCACGTATGATCATCAAGGAATCAATTCGGTTAAGGAATGGGATCCTCCAGTCTTAAAAAAAAAAAAATATATATCTCTCGGGATCGAAGGAATTATGTGTTTCCACGCTTGATATAATAAGGAGAAAGAGAAACGGAACGCGGGGCGCAAGGGTTGGAGGGGGAGGGAAAAAAAATGGGGGAAAGAAAAATTGGCTTACCGCCGAAGAGCGCAGTTGGATCGAGCAACGGATTGGCCTGGTCCGCCTGGAGTTTCTCGGAGGCGGAGGTGGCGCCTGGAGTCGCCGCGGCCGCCGCTTCGCCTCCGCCACCTCCACCGCCCCCGCCACCTCCGCCCGATGCGGAGTTCTCCTTCTCCATGCCAGTCCCCTGAAAACGAGCATCAGCGTTTCGTTAAAACCGTTAAATTCGCCTTCCTCGTCCTTTCTCCTCTCCAATGGATCGAGTTGAAAGAACGTGTAGTAGGGAATGACGAATAAAAATACGAGGAAAATTAAGAAAAAATATCTATGTATATATGTATGTATAATGATAATTGGAATTTTTTTTAAATCGTAAGAGATTATCATTATAGATATCCCGTCGTGGATTTTGAATTAATTAATTTATTCGCTCGTTTAGAATACCATACGTGAATAATTATTTAACGGTGTATGAGCATGGAATGATCGATGAATGGAAGAGTCGATAATAACGGGGCACGTAGCCGTAGGGGAACAATAGTACTATTTGTTTTCCTTTCATTGTTTCCAAAGCACCGTACGATCATTGCGAAAAATCTTCTTGCAGGAGCCTTGAACTTTCTGGACGGCGAAACAACGGATCGAACAACTTGGACTGAAGAATTAACGGCGCGAACGTTAAAAAAAAAAAAAAAGAAAGCAAACGTATAAAAGAAAAAAAAAGAAAAAAATTATATTAAATAATATCTCTTTTCAAAAAAAAAAAATTAATTATCCGGAAACAACACGCGCGAGTTAACAAAAGAAAATAAAAATGATGGTTGGAAAAAAAGAAAAGCGCAATGTCTGTGTAACGTCTGGTTTCCAGTTAATTATGTTAATACACCGACGCGGTGTCTCGAAACCCGCGAAACGCTCCTCCATCTCTTTCTTTCGCCGCTTTATTCTTCCCTCCCCCCCTTCTTCCTCATCTCCCCCCTTCCCTCCTTCCCACCGACTGCCAGTAGGAGGGAAGGTGGAGGGGGAGGGAAGGTAAAAATCCAACGATATTATTTCAGTCACGCGCATACGCGGCCACGTATGTATATGTGTGTCTCGCATGTTCATTCGATGACTGTTTACCAGTCGAAGAAAGGCTTCCTCTCGAGCGCTTTAAATAAAGGTCGTTCTCCCCTCCACCGTTTCCCCTCCAGCGCTTCAATCAGCTGACTGGCACACTCCCCTCCCTCGCCGCCCAGCTGTTGTATAAATATACATGGTTACAACGTTGAGTCAGGTTAGGCTGGTGCTAGGCTAGACACCGCACCAGCCACTGGCACCGTTATTATCATACACTGTTGCCTTACGTATAGTTGACGTGTATCGCGCCCCGAGAGTAAACGTGTACAACATTACTCGCACTCTCGCTTCTCCACGATCTCGACCATGGGATGGGTGACGCAATCGCCGAATTCGAGATTATTTTTTTTTATCAATTTTTCCCCCCCCAATTACTCGATACAAATTTAAACGCGACACTTGATGTAACGTTCGAAGAAAGTTTTCGTCGAGGCGAGACGACATCTCGTACGATTCGTATTCGTATCGTATCATCGCGAGGAGGAGTAACTGTAATTAATGTAATCGTACGAATAACAATGGTGGTTCGGATGGCAATTTGTTATTCAAATCAATTTTCTAATCTGTTCAAATATGAATCGCGCGACGAGACGGCTAATGTTATACAGAGGTATATATATTTGCCGACAAATTTATCGGGAAATATCGGGCGGAATGTTTATCTTGAAACTTGACGAAAAATAATACCTACGTTTATATTTATATTTAAATATACGTAGAGTTTTTAAATATTTATTGAAATTAAATATTTAACGTGGCAATGAAATTTTAAAATTAATAAGGAATTAAAAAAAAAAAAAAAAAAAATATTGAACGTAAGATAATAATAAATATATTTAGCAACGTGTTAATCACATTGTTGATCATTTACCTCGTGCAGAAGTTAATAGCTATTTGAATAATTGAATATAAAAGATTGAATAAATTTCAATAATTTTGTTTGTATATTATTTAACACATATTACCCAATATTATTATCCAACGCACAACTTTCTACCCGAGTAATTGCTTTAAATCGATATTTTCGCGCGTAAGTATATTTCGTTCATATTTTTTCTTTTTCGACGATAAAAAAATTCCCGTCGATTGGAAAGAAAAAAAAACAGACATATTGCTTCAGAACTGGAGAGAGAGGAAAGAAAGAGACAGAAAGAGAGAGAAAGAGAAGTGATATTAAATTCGAAAATAAGAGAGATAGAGAACAATTCGAGAGAATTTTTTGCCACGATTTTAAAAACATCACCGGTGCGCGCGATGCCGGGAAGCCTTTTATTCCTAATCGAAGGACGAAGCCGCGTGGAAGCCCTCGATCGCCGGAAATTGTCTTGGACCAGCGCGCTTTCTGCGTTCCGGGGATCGATGGAGCGCTTTCTCCTCCTCCCTCTCCTCCTCCCTCTCCTCCTCCTCTTCCTCCTCCTCCTCCTCCTCTTCCTCCTCCTCCTCTCTCTCTCTCTCTCTCTACCCCTTGACGAGTCCAAAATCGACGTGCAACCGTGTCATCGGCGATCGATGAACCCCCGACATCGACAAACTAAGACAGAGCACTTGAATCGTTCCGGTTACGGAACATTCGTTCGATTGATTAACCCAATTCCCAACGCCACGCAAAACAGTTTTCATCCTACGTGTTTTGTAATACATTAGATACCTATCTATCCAATTTTTCGTGATCTAAGTACTATATATAAGTGACATAAGATTTTTTTCCGTGTATCAAAATGAAAACGAACGATAATTTAAAAGAAGAACTCGAAAGAGATGTAATACATTATTGGAACATTCGATCGAAGTGCACGAACGAATCAGGAATCAAATCGATACTTATACACACGTACATATTACCGTACTACATTCCTCGCTATACTTTTTCGTTAGAAAATGTTTAATTGGAATCAATCGCGTCGAAGGAACGAATCGACTTTACGCGTGGATGTAAAATGCGAGCATCATCCCGTACATTTCCTGCAAATTAGAAATCAAGTCGACTTCCTTCTCAAACAGAACACTAACAGAAGTACAACATCATCGTGACGAGTGTATCTTAATAAGAAGCATTCGAAGCAAGAATTTCCTCATCGAGGATCGTGGAATAGCAAGTTTTTCCCGGTCGAAGGAACGTAACACCGGTCGAGAAATCGATGGTCGTAGCCCAACCTCTGCCCCATCCTTCTCCCCCGTCCCTACTCCTACTCTCTCTCTCTCTCTCTCTCTCTCTCTTCCACTGTCTCCGTCTCTTTCCTCCCGACCCTTCCTTCGATCCTCTCTCGCTGACCGAACGAACGAGCCTCTTCTTATTCGTCGTCTTCTCCTCCTTCTCCGCCTCCTCCTCCTCGTCTCTTTTCTCTCCTCTTTCTCTCGCCAATTTACGAGCGCCTCCAAGTACTCGCAGAGGCTGAAAACCGGGCAGCAAAAGCGTAGAGAGCCTCGTTTCTCGATATTCCCCCGGCTACCAAGAATTCGACGCTCGTGCACCGATCACTTCGGTATTCCCCGCATGGTACAGAGTATCCCGGGAATATCGCGTGGCTTGCGAACGGCGAATTTTTTACCAACTTCGAAGGGAATCGTCACGTAGCGGTTATTCGCTGGTATTCCAAAATGAACGCGTACAATCGAGCGTGAAAGTTTCTGTGAGACCACCTTTCGAGCTCTAGTTTCCATTAGAGAGCTCTTTCGTGGTCTTTCGTGTAAATTATTACGCGGGTAGAGTAAGCGAGAAGGAAAATGAGTGTTTTCGCACGATGTTCTCCTGATCGTTTAAAATTAACACACTCCGATCTTCGTTTCTCCTCCCTTCCCCGATTCAAATCGAACAATGTAACCTTTGAGAACGATTTTTCTCGAGCGTCGATCAGCACAATGTCAGCTACAAATCCGAGAGACAAGCTTTGGAAATGTGAACACTGACCGATGGTACGGGCGGATAAAGCATAAATCACGAAACGCGTTAACCTAGATTCCGTTTCTTTCAAACACGCCTTCCACCGAGTCCTTAAAACGCATAAATATCACCGCCACGTTTTTATAAATAGCACGAGCAGATGAAAAAAGTGGTGGGAGGAATCCGTGTAAATCCGCGAATGGATTAAACCGTTGGGCTAATATTTTCGTTCGAACGGTTCGGCCAACCCTGAGAACGCGATAGAGGGTGGGAAGAAAAATGGAGGCAGACACGAACAGGGTGTTCACAATAACATGGAAATGGATGCAGGGGACGCGTGCCTCGTATATCTAACCGAACACGCGGCTACATATAGAGAAAAAGCCCTTTTTCTTTCCAACGGGTGTATCACGCGTAAAGTCCACCGGTTATTTGGCGAGCACAGTGACCCAGACATGGCTATGAAACATTATTCATCGATACACGCGAAAAACATTACTTTTTAATTGCTCATAGCATGATAATCATCGTAATATAAATGAAAAATGTATAATATTGGATGATCGTAAATTTTGAGATCATAATTGAAACTTGAAACGTAAATATATACATAAGTTCCTTTTACGACATTTCTTAAACAAGTATTTCTATGTATAATAAAATTGCTGCTGCGATTCTTTCTTTTCTCCTATAAAACTATAGGTAAACTATTGACAAAGAATATATTGTCGATAAGTTAGTAATTGATAAATTTTTTAGATCAGCGCCATCTCGCGTTTGGATCCTGGAAGCTTCAACTTGTTACTAGCATAGCAGGATGTGCAAGGAGGTATGCGAAGTCAGAGACAAAGAAAGCAACATTGTGCGAGAAGGATAGATAGTACTTTGGCTACACGTCACGTGACCACTATCACGTGACACCTATCACGTGACCGTATTGCTTATTACTTCGTAAACATTACATCGAAAATTAATTAATTATTCATTTTCTAGCAAAAATCTCTACACTTTTAAGCTCTCGTTTTAAAGCTAAGACCTTAATCAACTTTCACATATAGATTTTAATGATAGATTTGTTCCAATTAATTATTTATTAACGATTAATGCGTCATGCGCGAAGTGACGCTACCGATGCGCGATATATTTTTCATTAATTTGTTATTATTATAGGATTAATTTATAAATAT